TTGTAACCACCATAAATTGCTTTATAGAACTCCTCTGCTGGAGTAAACAATCCAGAGAGATTTACTTTACAGCTTTGCATCCAGTTTTCAAAAGAGAGAGTTGTCTGCTCTCTCTCCTCCCTCTCTCTCTCTCTCTCTCTCTCTCTCTCTCTCTCTCTCTCTCTCCTGTTTCTAGTTACCTAAACTTAACTTCAGAAAGTTCCAGAGAAAATCAGATCCAGGTCTGCAGATACTATACCCTCAAATACTCACTGCTGGAACAATCCTACTTTGTGGAAATAAAGTTTATACGGCCAAACAAAAATAAAATATTTTAGTACTAAATATTTCACCATATTTATAGTACCTCAGAGTCCAGGGTTGCCTTAGATAATTCAGACAGTCGACTTGAAATGTGTTCTCTTCTAGCACTGTACGAGACTGAATTCAATGCAAGCTGCTGTAGATAAGAGTTTTAGGGGTCTTTAATCATTTCTTTCTTGTGTCCTTGATGAAAAAAACAGAACTCTCTTTGTACTAAAAAGAAGGACCTGTTGTTTCCAGATTCAACAGGTCATTTTTACAAGAACTTCCCAGAGGACGTAACATAAATGACAGAAACACAAGGGGATATTTTAAGTGGCTGATGATTATAAATGATATATATTTTTTATATTAAGGGAAGGTTGTTTGTTTTTCTTTCCAACAAATGGAAAATTACTGTTTCAAAAGTGTTTAATGCTTGAATTAGATTTTTAGGGCCAAACTTTTCTTTATGAGTTGAATCACTATAAATTTGGGTCCTGAAATCAATCTGTGGCTGCGCTTGACCCTTCAGGTAAAAAACCTTGTCAAATCACATCTATTTCTGTTTCGGAAATCAATGTTTGATTTAGTGTGCTTTTGTGGTCTATTTAAATTATGTTGTAAGTTTTATAATATTGCTTCACTTAACATAATAGAAAGAATTAATATTGTATAAAAATGGTAAACTGTAAAATCGGGAATTATAGTCACATGATTTTTACTTGCACTTGGAGGAAAGAAAAAAGTCAGTATTTTACAGCAAACAGCAAGCAACAGAACTTATCAAAGTTTGGTGGACTCTGTTAACTAAAGGTATCCTGCATTTGAGACTGACCAATTGAAGACCAATATCTATCTAAATGAGACGCATTTCCTAAACTGTAATTGCAGGAAAGTTTGCCAGGTCAGAGACACAACTTTCTTCTCCTTATAAATATCAAAAGCACTTTACCAAACTCAGTCCTTCAGCCAATCACAAGTTTTTAACCAAGAAAGCATTCTTTAAAGTATGGTGACTGCTTGCTGGCAGTTGCTGGGACATAGATTATCCAAACTACCTAGGCTCTGGCACTGGACATTTTTAGTAAGTCTCTGCGTTACCACCTAGGACAACTATCTGGCCAAGCTTTAAGGTAAATAAATACTTGATGGCAAAGACTGTGTTAACCAGGGAACTGCCTAAAAGGTAAAGAAGAAATAAAAACAGGCTTCCTTGCAAGAGGTAACCTAGTAACGGTAAACAGGTTCTAACTTAGGAACGTTTAGAGTGACCCCTCCCCCTTTAGCTGAATGCAAAGGTATCTATCCAGAGCAGAAGGAAGGGATGAGACGCTAGTTGCTTCGAAAGGGAATCCCTGGGACTAAAATCATTAAAATAAAAACTTCCCTCCCCCTTTGAGTTCCTAAACATAACCCCCTCCCCCAAGAGCAGGCACAGCGGGAAACAAAACTTCCCTAGTTAGGGACCGAGCTGCTGATGACGCCTGGCCTTCTACAGGAAGTGTGGAGGGAGGGGACTAGGGGTCATCGCCAAGGGCTCTGCCAAGTCTTCCCCCTGCCGGGCACCCCAGTTTCTGGCTGTCCCCTCCCAGACCCGCGCCCGCTCACCGGTACCAGGCGAGGCCCTTGTCGTAGCTGCGGTCGAAGAAGTGGGGTTCTGCGCCCACGGCGCGCACGTCGGGGTGCACGCGCAGGAACTCCAGCAGCGCCCGCGTGCCGCCCTTCTTCACGCCGATGATGATGGCCTGCGGCAGCTGCTTACTGCCCTCGTCGAGGAGCAGGGCCAGGGTTCCCTGCGGGGCCTCGGCCACGCTGCTGCCGGCCCCGGAGCCTCCGAGTCCCGCGGCCAGGCCGGGGGTGTCTTCTTCCCAGGCTGCCTCGTCGTGGTCGTTGTTCGAGGCGGGCGGCCGGCGCCTCCGCCTGCGCTGCAGCTGCAGCAGCCGCTTGCTCCGCGCCGCCGCGGGCCACAGCGCCAGCTCCTTAGGGCCTGCGGCCAGCACGCCGCGACCCAGAGCCCCCACCTCCTCGCTGCCGCCCGACAGCTCCACGACCGGGGCGGACAGGGTCCGGCAGCGCTCGGCCAGGCAGTAGAAGACGTACAGGGAGGTGAGCAGCGAGCAGAGCATCAGCAAGAACTTCCGGAAGACGCTGCGGGACAGCGGCTCGGCCGAGGCGGGGTGGGCACCGGCCGGGCCCAGAGGGGCCATCCTAGCCGGAGGCGACGTCGGGCAGCGCGCGGGCCATGCTAAGCCAGGCCTCCGCCAGGTGCCACCACGTCCCCCGGGAGGACCTGCGCTCCGGACGGAGGCCACATCGCCCGCGCGTCCGCAGCTAGCTCACCCGGAGGTGGCGGCCGGGACACCTCCAGGGGACAGGGCCTGGGCCCCCCGCGCAGAATGCCAGCCTCCGTCAGGGCGCGGGAAAGGGGACGCGGTGCTGTGCTTAAGAAACCATCGTCTTAGGTCTCAGACTCGCCCGAGACCTCAGCCCGTGGGCAGCGCTCCGCGCCCCAGGATCCCGGGAGTCGCCGGGCTGGGACTCTCGGCGGCGGCAGCGGCGCTCAACCCTGGGATCCCCGTCAGCGATCGCCCACTCCGGGCTCGTCCCGCGCTGGGGACACGCGGCTGCGGGCAGCTGCGTGCCCTGCAGGCAGCGGCAAGGGACACTGCCCTCCCGGGTGTGCCTTCTCGGTCCGTACTCAGTTCTTCTCCGCCGCGGTACGAGGTGGCCCCCGGTTCCTCTGTCCAAATGGGACCCCTCGCCGCCGCCCTCTTCTCGCGGGTCGGGCGCTCCCAAAGTGTTCTCCGGCCCCACCTGTGAGCCGCGTGGCGGCGCCGGGCTCAAGACCTGTCAGCGACCGCGCGGCTCCAGGCTCCCCGCTGCCTCTAGGGCAGCGCCGCCACACGTGGGCCGCGGAGGGCAGCAAACTTGGCGGTGACGTCAGCGGCCCGGGCAGGACCAGCCCGGGACCAGCGCGGCGGGCCGGACGGGGAGAAGGTGGCGGCGCTGCTGCGGCGACGGCCCAATGGCACTGGCAAGGCGACGCCCCTTCCCCACGCTCTCCCTCCCTCTTGGTCGCTTTGCCCCAGGCGCGCAGATTCCGGAGCTGCTAGGGCTCTGGGGTTGTCTGACAGCGCGGGGAGGATCTCGGGGACCTTATTTCATCTAGGGACTCCCTTGCTCCTTTAGGAGCTCCCAGATCCCTCCAGTTCGCGTCATGCCTTGGCAGTCTTGACCTCTTACAGGTCCCCCCTCCTCCTTCTCTCCCTCTTCCTCTTTCACATACTTCCCCATTTCACCTTTGCCTGGACCCTCCGTCCCATACCGAACCATTGGAAGTTTAGCTTACAGCAGCTGCCTGCTACGCCCCCGTTTGTCTGCAGCGAAGGAATTCCGCGAAACTGCACCGACTTCACCTACCGGAGCCCTTGCTGGTCCTTGTGAAGTTCCTGCAGAGATTTTCTTTCCTCTTACAGTTTTTTCTTAAATTTGTTTAGAATGATCAAGAGTCCTCCGGGGCCTAGAAGGGAACAATTTCTTAGGAAATGATCCAATAAGTAAATCAAAGGCACAAATTAAAATGTAAAACAAATTCAGCTCCGATTTCAAACTCACAGGCCCAGTTTCTGATGAAGTGTTTTTAATGTTTGTACTGTCGTGTGAGTGTGCCCTGTTCATGTGTAAGCACGCTCCAAGGGGTTAAATGTCCTTCTATAAAGAGCGACTTCCTCTTTCTCTTGCTTTCTGCGACCTTATATCCTCTTCCTGTGCTCCCTGGAGAGCAGGTCAGGAAGGGGTACAAACTGTCTTGCTGTTTAATGGTGGGAGGCGGCCTGTGGAACCTGCATGAGGTGGTATTTTGTTTCCATCCTATGTATCCCTTATTTCTGGCCTTGTTGTCACCACAGGACTTCTGGCCATGTGGGAGGTGGCCTGGCAGCTTCATCTGTCCACTGTGGGTGCTAACAAGGGCCCACAGCTGGCACAGTGTTTATGTCCCTGGAAACTCACTAGGAATTGCTAATGCCAGGCATCAGGACACTAGGCTTTCTTTGCTGTTTCTCCTCTGTGGCCATGGGAGGGGGAGTCAGGAGGGCCCTTTATGGCTTCCAAAGAGGACAGAGCAATTCTAACTGTTTGGATGGAATTGATGTACATGAGCCCTATTGGATAAGTACTGCTGAACATGGTTTTATGTTTATAAACTAGCTGATTATAAACTAGAAGCAACCCTAGCTGATTCTATAACCAGTGAAAAGCTGTGCAGAGTCTGAAGCCATAAAGTTCTGGATTTTCAGGAAGATGAACAGCAAGAGTGGGCAGGCTCTAATGTTACTTTGTGTCCTAAAATTGAATATTGACAAACCAGTTGAGTTTTAATACTAATTTAAAAGTTTAATATATTTCAAAACTTTCTGTGTTTCCATGGGATTTGCAGAAGGAAAAGTACACAGAGACCATTTTTAAGTTGTCACGAAGCATGTAGCCCCATCAATGCTTATGAACATGCATCAGTTTCTGCATCTGCAAAATGATGGGCTTCAAGTTCACTTCTAGCTCCACTAAGATAAGCTGTTCTACTTTTGTGATTTCACATTACAAACATGAATATCTCTTGTATGTAGGTATTGACATTGGAAGTACAAAAAATGAGCCCTCTTGTACAGTTTAAACTGTCAGTCACAAAAACAAGTAAAAAAAAGATAAAATTATGTTTTGCAACACAATTAATACATCTAAAACTGTGATTTTTTTTTTTTTTT